TTATTATACCTGCTGTGGTCCAGTCAGTGGTCCGGTCAGGGGTCCGGTCAGTGGTCCGGTCAGTGGTCCTGACAGAGCTGATGGTTGGGGGCAGAGTTGTACGATGCAGACTGTTGGATGGAGCTGAGATGAAGAGAAAACATCAGAAGACTGCACAGGAAGTGAAACAGGAAACGAAGTAAAACGTTTTTATCTGGTGGTTTGGGTTGTCTCTCTCTGTCTGTCCTGAGACGTTCAGACCAGCGGTTTGTCTCCAGCTGACCTCTGACCACTCTCAGGTTCATGATCATCTTCTTGTCGTTGAAGATCCCATCGATGTCCACCCTGCAGCAGTATGGCCCGCTGTCCGTCCGCCTCACGTTCAAGATGTCCAGGTCCATCTGTCCGTCCAGGATGTCCCCCGTCAGCCGGTACCGGTCATCCACCTGCAGGTCAAAGGTCAGACTCTAATCACCAATGGTTCCACCTGAAACCAACTTCCTGTTTTGCTTATGTCCTGTTGCAGACACAAAGTCTTCTCAGGCCTGAGAAGGTCCTCCTGCAGGACCTTCTCAGGCCTGAGGGGTCACAGGTCCTCCTGCGGGACCTTTGACCCCTGGACAGGAAGAAGGCTGACCTTAGTGACAACACCATTCTCATCCATCTGCACCAAGATGTTGCTGCACCAGAAGGTCCCACAACCACGGCCCCAACAGACCCGACTGAGACCGAAYCGCTTCACGGAGTACTGACAGGACAGAGAGGCCACGCCCCCCTCCCTCACTTTAAAACAAGAGGTGGGCAACAGTGGACCACCTGCAGCAGAAACATGAAGAACAGCAGCACAAAGATTACAGAACCTAACAGAACCCAACCAGAACCACAAACACACGTCAGTCAGACTCTGGCAGAAACATGAAGAACAGCAGCACAAAGATTACAGAACCTAACAGAACCCAACCAGAACCACAAACACACGTCAGTCAGACTCTGGACCCCAGAGTGCTAAAAGATTAACAAAACAACAGTTTGTGTAAACAAACAGTTTGTGACATCATCAGTGAGGTCACAGCGTCTAACGTCTCACCTGACAGGACGAAGAGCACCGCCATGAAGATGATGAAGGTTGGAGGCGACGAAGCAGCCATCTCTGAGTCAGACTGAGACCCCTCTGTCCCACCACACACAAACTGAACACTGGGACTCTGTGGCCGAGGACTGGGGTCACTGGGGGGAGGGGCTAGGATGCACTGAGTGTCTTTGTCTCTGAGGGTCTGTGACGAAGACGAGGGTCTGTGACGAAGACGAGGGTCTGTGATGAAAACTACTGAGGGTCTGTGACGAAGACGAGGGTCTGTGATGAAGACAAGGGTCTGTGACGAAGACGAGGGTCTGTGACGAAGACGAGGGTCTGTGATGAAGACTACTGAGGGTCTGTGATGAAGACGAGGGTCTGTGATGAAGACGTGGGTCTGTGACGAAGACGAGGGTCTGTGATGAAGACTACTGAGGGTCTGTGATGAAGACGAGGGTCTGTGATGAAGACGAGGGTCTGTGACGAAGACGAGGGTCTGTGATGAAGACTACTGAGGGTCTGTGATGAAGACGAGGGTCTGTGATGAAGACGTGGGTCTGTGACGAAGACGAGGGTCTGTGATGAAGACTACTGAGGGTCTGTGATGAAGACGAGGGTCTGTGATGAAGACGTGGGTCTGTGACGAAGACGAGGGTCTGTGATGAAGACTACTGAGGGTCTGTGATG